TATCTTTTTAAAAGTCATTCATCTAATAGTTACAATTCCTTCAAAGGCTGAATTGCTAATTATGAAAGTCGGAGTCTCATATTCTCTTTGTGAATAAAGAGTTATCTAAAAGATGATAGCAGTTGAAGAAAATATTGACAGTAGCATATGTTATCATCTGTTTTGAGTCGTAAGTGTTAGATATTTGCAGGTTAATCTTTCACTAGAGAAAGTTCAACTATTTCATTCTCAGGTGTTCATCACCAGATGTATTGCAGATATATTTAATTTCCCAACTCTTTAAGTTTGTAAAAGTGATGTGAGATCATATAAAATATCTTTATTTTGTATATGTTGCTATGATTCAATGACACTTATAATGTAATTAGTTATATTTTCCTTTCAGTTTTTAGAAATCTTGTGAACATTTGGCGCTCTTCCTTTAATTGATTTTGTAAATACGTGTACTCATTGTTATTTTATCTCAATTTCTTAGGTGTAAGATTGTATCAAGAAGAATTCAATGAGAATACAAAAAGACTTTGTGAGTGAAATTCTCAAAGGGTAGTACTATATGGAAATTGGTAGTTGATAGTAATTTTTATCGAATAGCGTGCCTACATTATATTATAGTATCTCTAGACTTGAGGATTGCAATTTTTCCCCATGGAAAAACCTTTTTGCTTCTGCAGGATTTTCACCTGTTGCATTTAGTAATATGATTGAAATCCAAGCTGAATGTGTTGTTAGTTTCACGTCCAGAAGAGACAGACGTCTCTTGTGCTATGCTGGAAGCAGTAGGAGCTCTTCTGAGCTGTGGCTTGGAGGTGCTGAGGAGCTTTTCTTCTGAAGCCATAAGAGATTTTAATTTAAAAGCAACTACTACTAGAGGTTTTGACTCTTCAATTTGATGTCTGTTGAAAAATCAGAATTACATTGCTATCTGTGTCCCTGAACAATTTTACGTTTATGTCTCATTCTCCTTAGGCATAATACATAAATTGGACCCTTAACTTGGCTTCAAATTATAACTTTGACCTTAAACTTTGTGAGTGCACAAATAGGCACTTTAACTATCCAAAACTTAAACAAAAAAACACTCGGATCCTACCTGGCAAAATGCGTGAAATACACTCAAATTAGGCGCGTCAGATGTAAAAATCGAGGGGCCCAACAGTAAAAAAAGCATTGAAAGGACAATTAAACCCTCTTTATATTTTTTTTCCAATAATTTTCCCCTCTTTTTTGCATTATTTGTTGTTCACTGCAAAATGCAAGTGACATTTAATAAAAAAATTTGTTATTACGAAAAAAAATTATAATGAAGTTTTTTCTTGGCAAGATGGGTGAGTATACACTTGTAAAAGTCGAATGCAATTTAAGTTCGAAGGTTCTCGATCAATGAATCCGATCCACACTTAAGGGACTCCTTACATTTTGATTAGGTATCAAATTGCTACTCAAATTTGACAAAAATCTCTAAATTCATTCAGACAATTTATCAAACACTTTAAGTGCACCATTTTACTTAATAATTTTTAGCACTGTATGTTCATTTTTTGGCCTCCAAAAATTCATAATTGTAATTTTTAATTCACTATGACAAT